AAGTAAATTTGCAACTAATAAGGCTTTTTTTGTTTGTTTTGTAGTACGCGGGCCTCTCACTGTTGTGGCCTCTCCCGTTGCGGAGCACAGGCTCCGGACACGCAGGCTCAGTGGCCATGGCTCACGGGCCTAGCCGCTCCAGGGCATGTGGGATCTTCCCGGACTGGGGCACGAGCCCGTGTCCCCTGCATCGGCAGGCGGACTCTCAACCACTGCGCCACCAGGGAAGCCCACTGATAAGGCTTTAAATATCTTTAATCAACCTTCTGGTATTTGAATCAGTTCTGAAATTTCTCCAAGTTGTCATCTACCTTATGTTTACATACTTCCAGAGGCAGGAAATTTATTAGTTATTAAAACTCTTCAGACCATTTTGGAGAGTTTGGACCATTAGAAATGCTTCTCTTCTCAAAAACATTCTATGGTTTCCTACTTTCCCCTTGACTTAGCATTCAAGGTCCTCCATAAACTCATTCTAGCCGACAATCCATCTCTATTTCCTGTACTCTCCAGCATACATGCTCTATTCATATCAGATCAACCTTAGTCCCAACAGGCACAGCCTTATTAACACGGCAAGATCATTCTTACTTCTGTCACTCATCTCTTACTGTTATTCTTTCCTAAGTTACAAGTCCTTTATGTTTGACTTGTCTAAAGTCCTACTCATTTTCCAAGGCTAAAAAGAGACTCACCTTTCCCAGGAAATCTTCTCTGGCTACTCCATCTCCCACTGAATTCCTCCAACTGACACAGCAAATTGTGATTTCCTCCGACTGACACAGCAAATTGTCTACAAAACATGGTCAAATGCTACTTCTCCCATTATTTGTTAGTTGGCCCATGTGACTTTCTTCGGTTCGCCTACTAAAAGGTTAAACTCCTCCAAGCCTAAGACACAATCTTCTTATATATTTTCCCCACAATTCCTACTGCAGCCTTATGTAAGTATTCAATAAAAATTGTCCATGGGATGTTTTTAGAAAATAAATGTATATAGTGCTTAAGAAGGCTAATAAGAGGACATGCATTACACACACACACACACACACACACACACACACCTACATGTATACATATACATATATACATGTATACACCTATACATATATACATGTATACACACATACATATATGCATGTACATACATGTCTGTACATGTATACACATGCATACATGTATATACATATACATATACACACAGAGAGACATGATTTTGTGGTCAAAAGTAGAGCTCAACTCAACCGAATCCACTAAAATCTCTAATTTGCATCTGCTGTTAAATTACAGAAATGTCTTTCTTTAACTCTCCTTGTGTTTAGGAAAAGAGACTGATATGTGTCCTCTGATTCAGTGGTTGGCAGTAACAGTAAGAGCTACTCGCTAAGATAAAAATAGGAAACTCCTATTCCTAAAATATAAGACAGATTTTAATTAACCAGACTCAACAAGAAATCAGACCATGTACCACCATTGGATTCAATTCAGAAGTTCCTTGTTTTGCATAGCTACAAATCCTCCAAGTATCAGGTAAGCCAGATGCTGAGCCAGAATTATGAATCCCATCTTTCATCCCTTTTGGGGGAAGGCATCTAAAGATGCCAGCATTCTGAGACAGCTTAAACCATCCAGATCTGTGATTCTGTGAACTTTGATAAAAGAAACATTGTGCTACGGTTGTGAACTATCATAAGATGGCATCTCTAGGTACTCTGATGAGAGAGCTATTACTCCCAATTCAATTTGCTTTCAATTCAGTTTCTCAGGAGGTCACTCAGAGGGTCTGACATGAGTGTCATTTCTTTGTCATTAAAGAACATCATGCTGCTGGCTTGATCTGTTCATCCCTTGCTCCATCTACTTGGGTGTAGGTTAGCTGTAAATGAGGCACTTTTGGTCCAGGATCTGGTTGCTACAAGTGTTCTTCAGTTTGCCAGCTTTTATCCACACTTTTTTATCTGGTCTTGCCATTAAAGGTGAGGGTCCCAGGTAGGGGTTAGTCTACCCGCTTAGTATCTCCTTGTCACTTTGTTCACTCTGAATGTGATGGCTGGTCACTAAAATATAAAGATGAGTATGGCTTGACCTCTGCTTATTTATTTTTTTATTTTTATTTTTTGGCCTCTGCTTTAGACAAAAACATACAACCAATCTCTCTTAGCTCAGAGCTGGTTCTTCTTAAGCATTTGCTATGTGCTGGGCACTGTACTAATCTCTTGACATGGGCTGTCCCATGATTTTTTACAATGACCCTGTCAACAGGAACTATTACTTTATACTTACGACTCAAATAAGAAAATGGCAGCACAAGGAAGGGAAAGTATATACATCTAGGAGGACGTTGAAGACATGTGGTCAACTCCAGCAGTCACAGCACAGCTTCTAAAAAGGAGAAATTACATCGAGTACAAAGTAGCAGAGGTAGCAATGGAGCTATGCGCTGGAGCTAAAGGAAGGGAAGTCTTGGGGATGGTTTCAAAACGGAGGAAGGTGAAATTTAAGCAATGCAGACTGGGACTGAGAGAGTGCCAGAACTATATATTTGAAGGTCAGAGGTGACCACCAAAGCAGGAGCTTTTTTTTCTCGATTTGGTATCCGCTCAGGGCAGGTTATAAACATGTAAGAAACACTGAAGGCAGGCCAAGAAAGAGGAGGCAGCTCACAGAGCTGAGAGAGAACAAGAAGCAGAGAGAACGAACCAAAGATTCACAGAGAAAAATCAAAGGGGGAGAGAATTTCCAGGGCCTATTGAATTTTGCAATTGGGTCTTCATTATTAATCACAAAAGCTATTATGTTCTTTATGCCAGGCAAAGATCACACTCACACGATCTCACATAAGTCTCACAACCAGCCTTGAAGTTTGTGCCATTATCTGCAGAACAGTTCCAGGGGTGGCCAACGGCAAAATCCAAACCACAAAGGGTTGAGAAGTGACTTAGTGCGGAGGATGTAGTCTGCATTTGGGATAAATTTGGGATACAAAGAGATTGAGCCCCTACTGGAGGCTAGCCAGTGTGCCAGTCACCTTAGCACTGTCTTCTATTGTCATCCAAACAAAACTCTAAAAGGAATGTGTCCTTATTCACCTTCGAAGAAGAAAGAGAGATTTGGAAGCCCAATGTGACCCCACGGCCTATATTCTTTTCCATAAACCCCACTCTGCTCCCACCGAAGGAACAGATAGATACGCTGCAGCAGACATTTACTGAGGTCTTTACTGCAGGAGGCCAGGCACTGTGCTAAGAACATGTACCTGAATTGTCACACTGAAACTTCAGTTTAAATGCTAGTTTCTTAGAGAATGGACTTGAGGTTACGGGGAGGGGGAAGGGTAAGCTGGGACAAAGTGAGAGAGTGGCATGGACATATATACACTACCAAACGTAAAAGAGATAGCTAGTGGGAAGCAGCCGCATAGCACAGGGAGATCAGCTCGGTGCTTTGTGACCACCTAGAGGGGTGGGATAGGGAGGGTTGTAGCGAGGGAGACACAAGAGGGAAGAGATATGGGGACATATGTATATGTATAACTGATTCACTTTCTTATAAAGCAGAAACTGACACACCATTGTAAAGCAATTATACTCTAATAAAGATGTTTAAAAAATAAATTAAATAAATGCTAGTTTCATTATTAATAGTGTGATGATTAACTGCTTGAGCCCAGGAATCAGACTCCCTGAGTTTGGAGCTCAGGTCTGCCATCTAGGAGTGTCCTTTTGCCTCAGTTTCCTCATCGGTAAAATGGGCTTTCTCGTTAAAATCCTTTAAAGATAATACACTTGAAATCAAAAGAACAGCGAGTACCTAGGGTGTGATAAGTGTGGGGTAAAATGTTAGTTAGCTAGTAGTTTACAGCCATTTTACAGTCAGGAAAAACAGGGTGAGGAAGGATCTAAGAGGTGCTAACTCTGAGAGCCCACTCTGGATTCTGGCGTGTCCGAGAAGTCTTTCCGTTTCACCACCGCTCACAATCCTGCAGAGAATCCTCTCGAGGGGGAGTGTGTGTGTGTGTGTAGGGGGGGGGTTGTAGTGTGCTTGCTTGCTTATTTGTTTTAAGATGGGATTGACTCCACTCGCACGTACTTTTCTCCTGGGGGCGGGGGG